TGTGACCCAGTGGCTTTGGGAGTGGAAATGTCGGGGGCGCCTGCAAGGAAAGCCACATGCCTAGTTCATCAAGTCATCTGGCGGCCGTGAAGCCCCGATGCAGCACAAAAGGGGATTCGATTCACGGAGATGAGCTGAGATTGGCTAGGTTGCTTTCTCGACGACTGGTGAGTCTCGTGTCTTACTATTTCCTGGCGATAGTCGTCCACAACGTTCATCGTTTAATGGTTGATGGTCCGTGTGTTGACAGGTACATGCACTGACGCAGAAGTTTTGGTGGTCCGTCAAGTACATGTACATGTCATCACATCATCAAGGGGGGAACAGAGCCGCGGACCCACACGGGTTTCTCGGAGGAGGCGCTTCCACGTACATCATTCTTGCCCTGTGCACTCTCCCAGGCTCGAGATTCTCAGTTCCTCTCCAACAACATACCAGAGCTGTCCATCTTCCGACATCTCCCTCTTCTGAGCCCTCTCAGGTGTCGCAATCTGCCACGGAGACGAACCGCTCGATGATTGCCTAACCACCCCTCGATTGCGCGCTCCTCAGCATGCCTCACTCGTCGCAAGCTCCGCTCATCTCGGACCGGCAGGACCGGGAGCGGGACGACAGACGAGATGACGACGATGAAGAGCTACTCCGCCGGGACGACTACTACGATGATGGCGATGCCGACGACGACGCCGACGCCGACGCCGACGAGCATACCCTCCCCCCGCCCATCAAGACCACAGGCGTGCAGGCCAGCCTGTTCATCTGGCTGCTGACGTTTGCCGCCGGCATCAGCGGCCTGCTTTTTGGCTGTACGTTGCTTTGCCTGCCCCTTGTCGAGACATGCTTCTTGCGTGCTAACTACCTGGCGAAGACGACACAGGCGTGATCTCAGCAACCCTCGTCTCCATCGACAACTCCCTCTCCAACCGCGAGCTCACATCCTTCGACAAATCTATCATCACGTCAAGCACGGCCCTATTCGCCCTTATCGTCTCCCCTTTCTCCTCCGTTGTGGCCGACGCCCTCGGTCGCCGCCGCGTCATTCTCCTCGCCGATTTTCTCTTCGTCCTCGGCGCCCTCCTCCAAGCTGGCGCTCACACTGTCACCTTCATGGTCTTTGGCCGCGCCGTCGTTGGTGCGGCGGTCGGCGCGGCGAGCTTCGTCGTGCCGCTTTACATTGCCGAGATCGCCCCTGCCACCCACCGCGGCCGCCTCGTCACGACCAACGTCCTCTTCATCACCCTCGGCCAGGTCGTCGCCTACATCGTCGGATGGGGGTTCTCCGTCTACGGCGATAAAAATACTGCCTGGCGCTGGATGGTCGGACTCGGTGCTGTGCCTGCGGCGGTGCAGATGGCTGTTGTCATGTACATGCCCGAGACGCCACGCTGGCTCGTCATGGTCGGGCGTTCGACGCTCGCGAAGCGTGTTGTGCACCGGGTTGCCGGTGGCCGCCCCTCTGCCATGCGTGACGCAGAGGCCGTGGTTCAAGAAATCGAGATTGAGATCCGTTCTGAGCGGGAGGTCATGCGCCGGGAGGGCTCACCGCGTCTCGAGTGGTGGGGTGGATGGCAAGAGCTGCTGACCGTCGGACGTAACAGGCGGGCACTTGCCATTGCTTGCCTGCTGCAGGGCCTGCAGCAGCTGTGCGGTTTCAACTCCCTCATGTACTTTTCAGCGACCATCTTCCGGCTCGTCGGCTTCCACACGCCGACGTTGACGGCTCTCAGCGTCGCCGTGACGAACTTTGTCTTCACCGTGGCGGCATTGCTCCTCATTGACAAGATTGGCAGACGTCGCATCATGCTCTACTCGCTGCCGTTCATGATCGCGGGTCTGCTGCTCGCGGCGTACGGCTTCTCGTTCCTCGACCTGGCTCCGTCGACGTCGACATCGACCGCGGGCGATGCACGCCCACCGGGTGCAGGCGACCCCGGCAGCACTCCTTCCGTACCCGGCGGAGGTGAGGACGAGGGCGCCTCAACGTCTCACGGTGCCGCTCTCATGATCCTCGTCAGCATCATGATCTATGTAGCCGCCTACGCCATCGGCCTCGGCAACGTGCCCTGGATGCAGAGCGAGCTCTTTCCGCTGGCCGTGCGGTCCATTGGCAGCGGTGTCGCGACGTCGACCAACTGGGCAGCCAATTTCGTCGTCGGCTTGACATTTCTGCCGCTCATGGACACTTTGACGCCGCCATGGACTTTCACGCTCTACGCCCTACTCTGCACCGTAGGCTATGCCCTTGTCTGGCGTATATACCCTGAGACGGCAGGGTTGAGTCTTGAAGAGGCGACGGGGTTGTTGGATAATGGATGGGGAGTACGCAGGTGATGAGTTTTTTGGGTACAATAATCACGACTCCATGAATTATACGTTATTCGAGCATGCACATGCTCGCTTTTGGGTTTGAAAGCTGTGCTCCGTATTGCGATCATGATTGACTCGTCGACGTGAATTCTGGACGTGAATGGGTGCGTATTGTGTTCGCACCAGTAGAATTGGGTAGCCATCGTGACAAGTGTAGAGAACCGCACATAGCCAAACCGTTGGAACGGTGCGGCCCATGGCGGCTGTTGGACGGCCATCGACTCGCCAGCCAACAAAAAAAAAAAAGCATAATTCCTCACAAACGCGACGTCGTAGACAAGCGGTGGTCTGAGCGGGCCGGTCGACTTTCTGTCTGACCGATTCGGAATGGGAGTCACATCGTGCCATCAGAGTTTTGGACGTTTCGATCATTCCCTAATCAGAGTTTCAAGCTGCAGGACAGCATTTCCCTGCCGCCAGCCGACTGACGTCAACGAAGCCCGCTGTGAAGGCGCGAGTCGTGACGGTCCAGAACCCTGCTGTCAGCTGATGGACGACCAGGGACTTTAACGTCACGATTCATCTATTTGTGGTTTTTGACTGGGTTTTGCTCGTCGCTGGCCGCAGTAATCTTTTGAGAACCCCCCCCCCCCTAACTGCGAACTTGTTGTTTGCTATCGGTCCAGGCTCCGAATTTTCTCGTTCGGTTCTTCGCCCTTCCTACTCCCGCCCACTTGCCGATTTGAGGCCCCAGAAATTGGGGGCCCTAGGAGTTGGACACACGGCCACTGTCGGCCTCTAGTGGAGTGAAGGAGATGGGAGGGGGAAAAGTAGGGTCCAGACCTCAGTGTGCATGCCCGAGTCCCCTGCGGCTGGGATGCAACGCCCACTGAGAAACGACGCTCCCATTGTTCGACTGGAGCGGCAGGCTAGGGCTGCAGATTGCAACACGCACCATGTGGCACCACCCGCGACTTGGCTTTCTTTTCTCCCCTACCTCAGGTCGTGGGTGGGTGCCCTCGCTCTCTTGTCCTTACGTGTACCTCTTCAGCCGGGCTGGAGTACCGAAGATGTTACCTAACGTGAGCGTGGGTGTAGGTGACGTCACCAAGCTCGGCCGAGTTTTCGTGCATATTGCTTACTGAGAATGTTCACATGGGCCAGACGAACATGCGCGTCCATGGACAAGGGCGCGCGGCAGATTCGTCGGATCGGGAGATCGGAAGGGCAACGGGGGCGCGAAAGGGCGATGTCCGAGAGATCTGCAGAATGGGATTCGGTGTTTGCGACAGGGCGGCGGCCGATCGAACAGCGAGCGCAGTGCCAGCCCACTCAGGCCGGAACAGCACAGCGTGGACTGGACGAGACAGGGTAGGTGGGATAGGTAGGTAAGGTAGGTAAGGTAGGTAAGGTAGGTAAGGTAGGTAAGGTAGGTAAGGTAGGTAAGGTAGGTAAGGTAGGTAAGGTAGGTAAGGTAGGTAAGGTTCCTAGGTTGGCCGGCAGCGTAACACAGCAGCACACCGAAGCACAGCAAACCGAAAGTGCACTGTGAAAATGTCGCTTTACAGGGGAGGGGGATCCACAGCAAATGGGAAGGCAGAGAAAACACAAGTCGGCAAGGCCGGGCGGTGCCGAGGCAGTGGACAGCACGCATCGTGCCCCGCCCGGACCCCTCATATCGGCCAATGAATGGTCGAGAAGAGATCTGCCTTGGGTAGCGGCCGCGTGCGGCAGTCGCAGTGCAGGCGTGCGGAATGCACAATGGACCCCACTCTTCGTTTTGCCTGGGAACAGGAAGCATTCCTTTCGTCGTCCGTTTCCTGCCGTTGCCGTGTTTCCCGGGGGCATCGAGAAGGCTAGCCGGGCTCGGGCCACGAAGGGACTCGGAGAGAGGGAGAGAAGAGATTTTTAGATTGTACCCCTGCGGCGTTGGGCTGTTTTCGTACTGAGTGGCCCTGATTTGCGTCCGCATGGAACGATATGGGCCCTTGTTCACACAGATTTGGGTGATGACCAAGACACTGGGCCGAAGGAACAGTTCCATTCGGCATCATGTTAAGAAGGCCGCGCCCAAGGGGATCCATGGGGAAGGACGAGAAGCGGATTTAGGGATCATGCTTACTTAGCTCCTTTGCTATCTCCATCAGCTTGCCTTTCTAATTCATACGGCATTCTGGTCATCCCATTGGAATGAAAGAGAAAAAACGCCTTGTTACTCATCCACGTTAAATCGTCGCGAAAAAGTCGGCATCGTGCATCGTGCAGAGGCAGGTGCAGTCGCGCATCGCCGGGGCCCCTGACGTAATTGGGCGCTCAACACATCTAGCACCAGAGAAGCTAGAAGCTAGAAGCTAGAAGCTAGAAGCTAGCTCCGAGGCCTGCCCTCACGACTCGTATGAGCTCGATACCACCACACCCGCTACCCTCTTTCTCTGCTCTACCCTGCCTTGCCTCGTTCGCCTGGCTGGGATCGAAACCTAATAACCCTTCCATCGCCCCATCGACCATTGCCGATTCTCTGGCCCCTCCTCCCCTCTTCTCTTACTACCACATCGAGTGTCTTCGTCGCGAGATCATACCCACGCCAACGATTCCCATTGACCTCCCTAGCACTGCCGAGCCTGACTGGCTTCACGTTCTTCAAACCCCCCCGAACACTCCCTCTCCCTTTCGCCCCACGAGCTACACCCAACATGGATGAGGTAGATCGCGAGCTCAGCAACGCCGCTCGGGCTGCGTCGCCGGGCCGCTACCAGTCTCGCGGTAGCCACGAGATTGAGCGCGTCCTTTCCGCTTCTACTACTTCGAGCACATCCACTTCTTCCTCCCGAGAGCCCTACCGCCGCAACACGGGCATCAGCCGCGTGTCAACTCAGAATGACCTCGAGCGCCATCCCACGGCGCTCAGCCGCATCGCCACCCAGCGCAGCCAACACAGCAACACTGTCGGCCGAAGCATCAAGAGCAGAGAATCGAGGAAACCTCTTCCCAACTTTGGCGCCGGAAAGCCCTATCCGCCTCACCTGCCCGACCAGGAGGAGTATGTCGTCGAGTTTGACGGGCCCAGCGACCCGCTGCATGCCCAGAACTGGCCCATGAAGAAGAAGTGAGTCTCAGATGCTTCTTTGTCTTAGATCTGGTTGGGCGCAACATTTTTTGGGGGGGTCTCGTCGCTGACACACGTTTCCAGGATGATCACAGCCGTCATGCTGGCTTACACGACCTTGACCTCCGCCTTCGGCTCGAGTATCTTTTCCGCCGCCACCGCGCCCATCAGCGTCCAGTACAACGTCTCCAACGAGGTTGGCATCTTGGGAGTCTCCTTCTACGTTCTCGGCTTTGCGACAGGTCCCACGCTCTGGGCGCCCCTCTCTGAGCTGAAGGGTCGTCGTCTGCCGCTCGTCCTCTCCATGTTCGGCTTTTCTCTCTTCTCCATCGCTGCAGCTACAGGCAAGGATATCCAGACGATTCTCATCTGCCGTTTCTTCAGCGGTTTCTTCGGCGCCTGCCCTCTGGCCGTCGTCGCCGCCGTCTTCTCCGACATGTTTGACAACCGTACCCGTGGCGTCGCCGTCACAGTCTTCTCCATGGCCGTCTTCACCGGCCCTCTCCTCGCCCCCTTCGTCGGCGGCTTTATTGTGGAGTCGTATCTCGGCTGGCGCTGGACCCAATATCTCATCTCCATCATGGGCTTCTTCGCCTTCTTCCTCGATCTGTTCTTTCTCGAGGAAACGTATCCGCCCGTCATCCTCGTGAGCAAGGCCTCCGAGTTGCGCCGTCGCACCCGGAACTGGGGCATCCACGCCAAGCAGGAGGAAATTGAGGTCGACCTCCGGGAGCTTATCACCAAGAACTTCACGCGTCCCATGCGCCTGCTGTTCTTCGAGCCCATTGTCACCCTCTTGTCCATCTACATGGCTTTCATCTACGGTATTCTGTACCTCTTCCTGACCGCCTACCCCTTTGTGTTCCGCGGCGTTCACGGCTTTAACGCAGGCGAGTCCGGCCTCGCCTTCTTCGGCATGGTCACTGGTCAGCTCATTGCCGGTACCGTCGTGCTCCTCCAGCAGCCCTGGTACCTGCGCAAGCTCAAGGCCAACAATGGCGTGCCCGTGCCCGAGTGGCGCCTGCCGTCCGTCATTGTCGGTGGCGTCTTCTTCGCCGCCGGCATCTTCTGGTTCGGCTGGTCCGGCTACCGTCGCGACATCCACTGGATCGTGCCAGCCCTCAGCGGTCTCTTTACGGGTTTCGGTCTCATGTCGATCTTCCTGCAGTCGCTCAACTACCTCGTTGACTCGTACCTCATGTTCGCCGCGTCGGCCATTGCCGGCAACACCTTCCTCCGATCGCTCTGCGGCGCCGGCTTTCCCCTGTTCGCGACGCAGATGTTCGAGGGCATGGGCATAGAGTGGGCCTCGACGCTGCTGGGCTGCATCGCCGTCGTGCTCGCTCCCATTCCCCTCATCTTCTGGCTCTACGGCCACAAGATCCGCGCCAAGAGCGCCTACGCACCCACCTTCCAGGCCCAGGCTGAGGAGCCGGTCGAGCCCGAAGACTTGCCAGGTGCCGTGCCGACGCAGTCCCAGACGGCTGTCAATGGAACCAACGGCGTCAATGGAGGCCACGAGGAAGAGAAGCAGGATGATCTCGCGGCGAGGGCGAACGCGCCCGCGACGAATGGCGACAGGAGCAATGCTGTGTAATGGGTTCCCAAGGAGGATAGGTTTGGAAAGAGAAGGCAGACTATTAGTCATAATGACAGGAAGAACCACAAAACGGTCGCCTGCTATTCTCTCGGCAAAACGGGTGGTTGCAAGCGTTTGGCTTTCCGTACGGATTTATTCTACTATCAATAATAAGCACGTATGCTCGAGATGTTGCGTGTCTGGTGGCTCACGTGTTGTTGTAACAGAAGAGATGTACGACGCAGGCATCGGTAACCAGTCAATTTGTGTCATCATGTACAAAGTACCTATGTATTACAGAAAATGTACCGCAGACATGTCCCTCCCCTGATTTTTCGTCATGATATATATGTATACATATATCTTTGTATGCGTATGTGTGTATATATGTATGGTCCCAGGCGCCGGCGCCCATTGCGTTTCTTTCTACTCCGTCTTCTGCGGACCCTCCTCGCGGCGCCCGATGAACGAGTCCATGGCGCGGTCGAGCCCCGCCAGCCGGCGCACGAGGACCTGCAGGCCGGCGGGCAGGACGGCGTACCAGTCGACCCAGCGGGCGTAGAGCGGCAGGGCGACGTGGGCGCTGCGGCCGGCGTCGATGGCGGCGACAATCTCCTTGCAGACGTCGACGGGCTCGACGACGGGGGCGAGGAAGGCGTTGGGGGTGCGGACGCCGTGGAAGAGGGGCGTCGACAGCTGGCCGGGCTCGACGAGGACGGTGCGGACGTTGGGGTGGGAGCGGCGCAGCTCGGCGGTCAGGGAGGCGTGGAGGGCGGAGAGGCCGGCCTTGGCGGCGGCGTAGTCGGCGAGGCCGGCGGCGCCGAGGCGGCCGAGGACGGAGGAGACGGTGACGATGGTGGCGCCGTCGGGGGCGCGCAGCAGGCAGGGCAGGAAGGTCTTGAGGGTGTAGATGGGGGCCAGCAGGTTGACGGCGAGGCTGCGGTCGAGGGCGTCGAGGGACTGGTCGACAAAGGGGCGGCCCGTGACGACGGCGGCGTTGTTGACGAGCACGGTGGGCGGGCCGAGGTCGCGCTCGATCTGGGCGGAGGCGGCGGCGAGCTGGGCCTTGTCGGACACGTCGCAGGGGTAGTGGGTGACGCCGCGGGCGGCGCCGTTCTCCATGGGCCGCGGGTCGAGCACGGCGACGGTGGCGCCGCGCATGCCGTAGACCTCGGCGAGGAGGAGGCCCAGGCCCGAGGCGCCGCCCGTGATGACGATGACCTCGTCGGCGAGGTCGACGTGGCGCGGCAGGCCGTGGGCGACGCGCGTGTTGATGGCGGACAGGGTCCAGACGAGGGTGATGAGGCTCGCCCAGGCGATGGACACGAGCATGGGCGGCGCGGACCAGTCCATCATCTGGGCGCGGAAGCAGAGCGGGATGACCCAGGAGATGAAGGGGTGGAAGAAGGTCGTCTTGAGGACCTTGAGGATGAGGTCGATCGAGAGGGGATCGAACCAGGAGTCATTATGGGGCATAGAGCGATCCATGGCTGCTGTCGTGGTGTCGCTGTCGTGGTGTCGCCGTCGTGGTGTCGCCGTCGTGGTGTCGCCGTCGTGGTGTCGCCGTCGTGGTATCGCTGTCGTGCTGGTATCACTGTCGACGGGTTCGTGATGGAGAACGGTGAGGTTGGAGGAGGGGCAGTCGGATGAGGTGGCTTGGGCGTCGTGCCTGGTCGTCGTGTATCGATGACGATGGAAAAACCGATGAGGTGAGGCTGCCCGGCAGCAGAGGAAAGCGAGTGACAGGTGTCAATGGCGGCAGGCAATTAGCATTAGGGGAGGGGAGGAGGTTTGCGTCCAGCGTTGAAGGAGGGAAGTTGAGATGAAAGACACGGCGCTCCCGACATGTGATGGAGATGTTGGAGGGGCCACAGCTCCCACCAGCTCTCGCCTTGGTGACAAAGGTATAGCCTTAGGTAAGGTGCCTACCTAGTAGGTCAGGTTCCTAGGTCGCTACCCGCTGAGCAACAGGGACCAGGGCGGGCTGGGGCCTTGGCTCAGGCATCTTGGCTCAGAAGCACCAGGGGCTCAGGGCGGTGAAACGCGGTCCCTGCACAAAGGGGTCAGGGGCCGGCCCCTGTTTGAACCCCTGCCCCGCTCACTGGAGGGATGCTGTGTAGGTACCTACCTACCTACTTGTGCCTAGGGTAGGTACTGACTATTCATCCTGATGTAAGTTTGATGGTCGCAGCCGGACAAATCATATGGTGCAGTGTTCTTTTCCCTTACTTCGACCTGCGCATCGGCCATAGCACACTGTAGCGACTCGCCCACTCGTAAGGGGAAGATGCATCGTGATCATGGTCGAGGCTCCGTCTCCTGGGCCGAAGCACCCGAGCAGTAACCAAGTACATGTACATGGTACGGCAAGAGAAACCCGCGCCTCATAGACGGCGCCACTGGACATGCCATTTCCGCAGGACCATCATTGCTCTGAGCAGGACGCAATTCAAGGGGAAACCCTTCTACCTGACCACATCTATAGAGCGCGACCTAATCAATCCTCGGCCAAAAACAAAAAGTCATCCAGCCAGAGACTCGTCCAACCACTCATAAGACAGAGAAGCATCCGTCCGCCCCGGGTCCACCCCGGCCGCTCGGAGTGCCCAACCCACACTACCCCGCATCGACAACGGACATGCACGGCAGTTGAGACACAAGCACTGATCCATGGCATCCGCGGAGCGCCGGGACAGTATCTTGGGCAGCAGCCCGAGGTCCTGCAAGACGAGAGACCGCTCGTAAAGTAACCTCAACTCATGAGCAGGCAACATTTCAATGCTGCGATGCCACATACCAAGTAAGACAAGCTGCTAAGCCACACCAGCCAGTCGCACGCTCCGATATGGTTTTATCAAGGGAGGGAACTTGGGGAAACTTTCATCGACATGAAAACTGCCGAATGCCGTCACATTACCGAGCTCCAGTCAACACTTTGTTTCGGCAAATAAACCACTTGATGGCAGCAACCCACCATGACAAGAGATGAAGATACATGGTCACGCCGGCCGAGGGGATAGTTACCCCACAGATCCATACTTTGGACTGATCATGCCCCAGCACTCCGGGGGAGCCAGCATCCCCGCGTCGCTTGCTGCACCTGGATCATGTGCCGCCATACTCAACCCACGCCTCCACTCTCTGGTCCCTTGCACCTTATTACACGAGGCGCAACCCCAGGATGAAGACTTACCAGCAAGGCCAGCATGAGCCCGTGCTGAGCGAGAATAGCCTTGACTCCGAGGTTATTCATTCAAGTGTCAGGGGGTTTTTTGCTCGGGTAGAATAACGGTTACACGGACAAGGCTCCGTCAACAGCCGCTCTGGCGTTGTATTAGAAGCCAGATCCTCCTCCTTTCTCCATCTTGAAAACATGGATCTCTTAATATACACACATAATCCAAAGCACTCCCACACCTTCCGCGCCCATGACCTCCAGGGCTGCCTTACTGAACCCTCAAGCTCAATTGTGAACCCTCCGGCGGTAGCTCCAGCACCTTTTTACATCCGTCAACGCCAACATGACCTCCTACAGAGAGCCAGGTCTGCACATTTTGGGTCCTGAATGGCTGGAGGTGCGTCTCGTCCAAAGCTCACTTTATTGAAATACATTCGCCTACTTGGTCTGATGTGCTGATCGGCTCAGATTGCCGATCATGTCACGCTCTCGTTTGGAAAAGGTACACCCGAGGAGCTACGAAACCAAGTGAAGTTGCCTTTTGAGTTGCCTTCACCCACCGGAATGACTATCACCGACAAACCGGTGCCCGGATATGATGGTGGTACAAACCAGGTTCGCATCTACAAGCCCGAGGAACCCTCGACCAATGGCGCCGTCCTGATATAGTGAGTCTTGTCACATTCAGGCCTCGAGAGTGTCATTTTGCTTACATGGGGTGTGCGCCCTACCAGCGTTCATGGCGGCGGTTGGACTGTTGGAAACCTGGACACGGAGGACGCGTTCTGCCGCACCGTATGCAGAGGCAACCGGATTGTCGTTGTGAGCATAGACTACAGGAAGTACGACGACAACGCAAAATGCTGCATGCGTGTGGTGAGGGACGACATGGTCGCTGACAGAACAATCTTAGGGCTCCAGAGCATCCTTTCCCCATCGGAATAGAGGACGTCTGGGCCGGAGTTCTCTGGGTAGGAAATACCCATCTTGTGTGCCAGCCTGGTCGCAATTGACACCTCGCAGGTTCAGAACAACCTAGATTTCCTCGGAGGAAAGCCAGACAACCTCATCATGGGAGGCCTGAGTGCCGGGGGCAACATTGTTAGTCAACATGCAGCCCCAATTCCGGTGGAAAGACGCAAAAGAGGCTGATGCATCCCTAACCCCCGCGCCAGACAGCAGCACTCGTTCAACGTGCCAAGGCCACAGGTCTCGTCTCCATCCGTGGGCACATCCTGCGCGAACCTCTCGTGGTCCACCCGGCGGCCCAGCCCGCGGGCGTCGACTTCTCGAGCTACCTCGACTCCGAGGACGCCCCGATCCTTCCGACCCTCGGGGTGCACCGCTGCCTCGAGTGGTACAAGCCCGTGCCCGACGATCTGCGTATGTCGCCCCTCCTGGCCGAGGACTTCTCAGGTCTGCCGCCGGCATACGTGCAGATTGCCGGGGTTGACCCCCTGCGGTGCGATGCGTTCGCCTACATCGACAAGCTCCAAGCAGCTGGGTATTGTTGAACCTCCCCCCCCCCCCCCCCCCCCCGCGTGCTCTTTCTGTCCTGGCTGTTCAGCGCTGACCACTTGTCTTGCCGCTCAGGGTTCCGGTGCGCGTCAGCGTGTATCCTAGATTACCGCATGCGTTCCAGATGGTGCCGCTGAAGTCGAGCCAACAGAGTGACAAGGAGCTCATCTATGCTGTGAAGTGGCTCATTGGAAGCGAACGAGACGATGACACAGGCACTAGCAGACCCGACCGTCTCTCTGGGCGGGAACCCTGGGCTGACCACCAGGACATGGTCAATAAGTGGTGTGGATGTGCCATCGCCGTCGGTTGTGGTTGTTCCGGGTGAGAACTCGAGGACGGCCAAGCTCGCAGATGGGGAAGTTTGGTAGGGCAGTCGCAGTCAGCAGCACGAGACAGACGTGATGAAGATTGATTTGTCATGTTGCCCCCGAGATCTACATGCTGAGTCCTCCCGATGTCCGAATCGGATGGTTGTGGTGATCACCAGGCTGGCGCTCCCGTCTTCGCCCCCAAGTAGGTCTTGGAAATGCCCACCGAGAAGGCGAAGCCACATGATGCGCTGGGCCCCGTACGGCTGCTGGGATACCAAGCAGCCCATGCGAAATGACAAGAACAGAGCTGGGGGGGGGGGGGCGTCCTGACAGTGGCAAAAATAGCAAATCCTGGCTCGTGGGCGCTGCCAGCTGAATCCTGCGGGACGGTGGGAAGGATCATGTTCCCAGCCTCATCTCATGCAGGTCTGCCTGCAGCTATTAGCTGTGCCTTCCCCGCCGATTTTCAGAATGGTTCCCACGAGATGGCTCATTTGCAGTGAAGTCTCTCTGAGCATGCTCGGTAATCATGTTTCGCTCGTCGAGCATGTTTCGGTCCCGACCTCAACACGATGTCAAAAGGATCGTGGTATGTGTCGACGGCACGTGGTACAACGCTGATGGCAAAGAAGGTAACGGTCGTCACCTGAAAAGTACCAGCGAGTGAAAGCACCGAATCTGATCATGCGAAAATGTAGGAAAGGGGACAGGAAACCTGAGCAACACTTTCAGGATCTTTGCGTCTGTCAAACAAGGTACTTTCGAGCAGGGCGGCAAAACAATCAAACAGGTACCGATGACGTTTGAAACCGTCTTTTACCCATATCTCTTTCTCACACGTTTGTAGGTAGCCAAGTACTTCAACGGCATAGGGACCAAGACCAGCAGTTATGACAAGTACAACGATGCCATTACGGGGGACGGCTGCAAGGAGCTCATCCGCGATGTCTACCAGGTTTGTGCCAGCCTTCCGCTCGGGCGCCAGCTTTTGCCGGCATACTGACATGGTATCCTCCAGTACTGCTGTGCAGAGGTGACGAGTCCAGATGACGAGCTTTGGCTGTATGGCTTCAGCAGAGGCGCCTGTAAGATGCCTCTCCATCCTAGTGACGCTTTCTGGCTTGGTGTCGCTGACTGAAATGCAAGACGTGGTGCGCGCTGTGTCGGCTCTCTTCCGAGACCTAGCCACGTTGCACAAGCAGACGACAGGACAGTTCAACCAGGACTATCGAGCTGCATTAGGGTTCCTGAACGCGAAGCAAAAGAGACAAATGTCGAACAAGCAGGGGGAGGTATGGCTATGATTGTCCCTTTCGCCAAGACGGTAGTGCTGACAGAGCGTCTTTCTGCATCGCAGCTGTACAACTTTTTGTCAGTGAACAGACCTATATGTGCGATCACTGCCAGCGTAGACTGACTACTGGTGTTCACAGCTTGGAAAAGACGCGAGAGGGTCCTGCCATTCAGTTCCTCGGCCTCTTCGACACGGTGAAAAAGGCTCAAGGAGATGTGGACTTCGACCTCTCCTACTCGCGGTCCATCCGTCGCGTTCGCCACGCACTAGCGCTGAATGAAGAACGAAATACGCACCAACCTGAGCTGTACAAGACCGAATCAACACCGGGCTGGGACGCCGAGTCTCTCATCCAGGCATGGTTCGTTGGTTGGCACGTTGATATCGGTGGGGGAGCCAGGGATGACGGCCTGTCGCTGTATCCCCTGCAGTGGATGCTTCTCGAGAGCCAGAAGTTTGGCCTCGTCCTGGAGTACAAGCCGCCAAAGTACATTGCCGACAAGATTCCGGTCGAGCACCCGCCCTCTCTGGTGCTGCCGAGTATTGTGAGCGAGAGCGGTTCGGACCAGCCGTTTCCGAAGACGTGCCTGTTTTCCGGAGGACCCGTCCCCAACGAGACGAATAAAGAGACTGATCAAGAGGTTCGTCAGTGGGACTTTTGCCTAGCAAGCGGTATCACAGTCAACATGTTTGATTTGCGAGCCTCCCACCGCCATGGCAACCTTCAGAAAAGACAGGGGAAGAAGCTGAAAAAGAAGGGGCATGTGGAAAAGGCTTCTCACGAAGTAAGGCTGAATCCACCGGACAAATTATTCACGGGCTACCAGCGGCGCCCGCGCTCAGTTTTCGACGCGCGGGGTGTGGCGGGTTACAACGAACATGGTACGCTCCCAACGGCCCTCGTCGTCTTCATGGAAAAAGTCATGTTAATGGCGGGTAAATGCAGATCCGTATGGCACCATCATACATCCGTCAGTCTACTTTCTGAAGGACACATATCCTAGCTTGGGCATCAAAGACGCTCTGCAGAAGATGGAAGACAGACTGGAAGACTTTAGCAGCCAATTCCAGTCGCCCGAGCACAGCAATTTCTTTCCCTGGTTGCTGGAGCGTACGCTGAAGACTCGATATGAGCAAGTGCGCATCCTCATCTGCGGTCGATCCGGGGTGGGCAAGTCGACGTTGCTGAACCGCATATTCGGCATGAAAATGGTAAGCATGCAGCCGGCTTGGTCCGAAGCATAGGAGTTGACCCGTAATGTTACCAGACTGTAGAAAATGAGGACACGCGGGGAATTCATGACATGGAGCAAGGGTTTGAGTCAGATCAATATCCCGGTATTATCATTCACGATTCGGAAGGCTTCGAGGCGGGGGACATCAAACGCGTTCAGGCTTTTGAGATGTTCCTGAAGAAACGGGGTTCTTCTGCCCCAGAGAAGGATCAGCTGCATGCCGTCTGGTAAGTTCATGCCCCTAGGGTCGCAGGAATGTCGTGGAGGTTGATGGCAACAAACTGAGCGATGCACTGACTCTTTGACTGAAAGGATTTGCAACGATATGGACACAAGCCGGCCCATCGAAGCCGCATTTGAACTCGTTCTTGGAATCATTGCCAAGTATGCCCCATCTCTGCCAGTCGTCCTCGTCGGTACCAAGAAGGATAAGTTCCTCAGGCAAGAGACCGAACTGAGCAAGGAAGAAATCCGAGCATTGGAAACAGGGCGAGCCCCTGAGCCACAACGCGAGCTGGACATCGCTCGTGATCTGCAGAAACGACAAAGTTGGCAGAAGAGGCTGGCGATAGATTGTGCCGACGCCAACGACAAACTGGACATCAAGGTGACTTTCGTCTCGAGAGGTAAGGATACGAGACCCGAGCATGCAGCTGCTTGCTCCCCTCTCCGAAGGAAATTACTGGGCAGTCAATAGAGTGCTGACAAGCTGTCACAGACAACCGAGAGTCCATCATGGCTCTGATGCACTTGACCCTCGAGCCACTCAACTCTGAGAGCCTTCGTTCAGGTATGGTAGCAGCCCAAGTAGTCGATCTAGATCTCAAGATTGCGCTGGCAGTCGAAGAGACTGTTCGTTTGCTCCGCACAGCAGTCACGGCCTCTAACTTGGGGGCTCTGCTTGTGGTTGTGAACAGGATCTCGGCGCCCACGTATTCGCGGCTTCTTTGCAACGCTATCGTCCGATCCTTTGGCTTGACACGCACGACCACCAGCGGACTCACTCGCGAGGAGGAGGTCGACAATATCATGAGCACGGTTGTGTGGAGGAACCTCTCCTCCTTCATGGCACGGTCATTCTTCGTAGCCATCGGAGACGTGTCGCTCTTAGTTGCGGCACCGTTATTCGAGGCGCCGGTGACAGCGCGGATGGTCGTCAAATGTGCATGCGATCTCATCATCATCATGGACCGGGCCTTCCACACTGGCGGAAAGTTTGTCACGCGGCAGCAGATCCGACAGGCCTCGCGGGAGTACGTACAACCTCTTGCAGAAAGCGAGTTGCGCGGCCTGCGCGACCGGACAGGCGTCAAGTCGGGCTCTTCGAGAAGACGGTTGGTCCATAAGCGCGTCAACGCGCTGATACCGGTGATTTCGGCATTAGCGGTGAAGATATACAGGAAGCGTCAGATTGAAAGCCTGCAACGAGGCATTCGAGAGATCATTGAGGATTATCGAATCCAGTCGGCAACAGACCACTATCTGGAAAGCGATGAATCTGTTGCTTCTAGCGACACATTGTCTGTGGGAACTGGCTCACTGGACGAGACGCTGGACGTTGCTTCGGAGGATGATGAGGATTTGAAGGCGTTTTCGGATATGAGCATCAAGGGGCAAGGGGCGTGAAGCCGTCTCGTGGTTGTTGCATTGAGGCAACGAAGAAGCTGTAGATAGGAGCCATAAGCCATGCATCTTCACCCAGCGATGAGAGCGAAGCATCGAGTCGACTCGGGACACGTGACCAGGCATCGAGATAGTGGGGTCCTTCCCTGGGCTCGAAATCATCGCGGCGCACGCCCGGCGCGCTAGCCTGCTGGAGCCAAAAGTAAACAACGTAGCAGCCTCTCCCGCTTGTGCCTGGACCTGGACCCTGTACCTGTCACCCACATCGCGACTCCCAGCACGTTCCACACCACCACTATCTCAACACTGAGGATTGCATCACGCACCCATTCTTGAGCATTGCACATTACACGCGCTGCTGCATCATTCTCGTCATTAAGATCACTCAACAGACAGCTACACAGTCAAACACACTCCCATTTTGCACCAGAACCACCGAAAACAATACACGGCATCGCGCCTGCCTCACCGCATGGTCGTCACCAAAATGGCCACGCCACGCGCCGTGAGCAATGACGAGTTGCTCTCGTCGCCCGACCCCCTCAACGCCTCGCGCGACGAATCCTTCCTCCCTTCTTCTCGTCGCGTCACACGAAGCGTATCACAAGTCTCCCACCGCTACATGTCCCTCGGAGCGAGCAACTCCCCTCGCAAGCAGACCATCGCCGTCGACATTGGCAGCGCCAAGACCCCGCAACGCCTCTTCGTGACCCTCGAAACCGAGAACGACGACCAGAACCGCATAGCACGCACCCTCTTCCCGTCGTCGACACCCGCGAGGAGGACGCGTAGGAAGTCCTCCGCTGCCACCACCAAATCTGTGCCACTGCGCGACGAAGATGCGCCTGGCGCCATCACGCCGAAACGAAGGGGCCGGGGCAAGAGGAACTCGACCCCGATGAAGCAGACACCTGGCCGAAGCAAGAGAGCGAAAACGACAGAGACGGACGACTCCGAATCCGACGCAACCTCGCGACCGGCCCCGGCCTCAGCGGCCGGCAGGAAGAAGACCTCTGCAACCCCCAAGAAGCGCGCTGCTACACCGAAAAAGACCGCAACCTCAAAGAAAAAGACACCACAGCGACGTAGCGCGAGAATTTTGGACCTGGAGGAGGAGAGCATGTCCGATGCCACCGTTCTGTCGGAGCTGTCAAACATAACAACTAGACAGTCCAAGAAGCGTAAGGCGCAGAGTGCGCCTGAGGACGATACATCATCTTCAAAACAAACCGCAAAGCGGGCCACGGGCAAGGCGCGCCGCATGGCACTGATTCCTGAAGAGATCGAGAGAATCGCCGAACCCGTTTTAGACTCGGTTGAGAGTATTCATGTCGAGGAAAATACCAGGACCGAACCCATCGCCGAGGAGCCTGCCACAGAACCTGCAGCCTCACTCGTCTTTGAACCACAGACATCGGAAGACCCGTTGACTAGCGACGCTATCGTGGACAAGACCGCAACACAAGACATTACTGCCGGAGCACCCACTCAGGAAGTCTCCACAGAGTCTTGGATTAGTGAACGCCGCTCATCAACACCCGTAGCAGACAATGGATGGGACGCTCAGCATTCCGTTCAGCAGGAAGAGCTGGAAGAGCTGGAGAGCAAGCCAGAAACTGAGAGCATTGATCAGAACGATGCGACGGTTGGTGTTGCCTCCAGTCAAGAACCCGTACCGCAAGACCAGTCTATGATGCAAGGCGAATCGGGCATCCAGAACGAGCTTGAAGACGAGCAGCATGCGCAGCTCGAAGCTTCGAAATCACAACATGAGCAACGGGAAGAAGAGAAAGAAGCTGCCCCGGAGCCCGACATGTGGCTTGCCATGTCCGATGCCGCTGGTGGGCCCCTCTCAAATTTTAGCGATGATGCGCATTCTGACGACGGTCCCGATGACCACTCCGACACCAACGATGACGCTCCTGCAGAGACTGTCGCTGATCAATTCTCCGACGACGAGGAAGCTGCAGCGCGACCTGCACTTGACGACACGGTCGCGCAGGGAGAAGACTTCAGCATGATATTCGCTGCTTCCATCCCCTCCTTACGAGGCAGTCTAGGTGTTCGGCCCAATGAGACGATGGAATTCGGCGAAGAAACAAGCTTCATAATCAGCCAGACGCTTGAGTCTTTTAGAAAGTCGAGGGCTGGAGAAGAGACTGCTGCTCAAAACGAAGGAAGCCCTGATCTGAGTTATGATCACAGTCGGGTCTTTCAAGAACAGGGCAACGGCCGCGATGATGATCGTGACGAAGTCCGTCGCGATGACGTTCAGGATGTCGAATCTCACCAGGCTGATCAGGACGAGGCTCAAGGTGCTATCACCGAGATCGACAATCTCCCAGCTCTTCCGTTGTTCAGTCAGCAAGCCCCGACTACCTCCCAGGCACAGCTTGACCTCAATTCCGAATGGTCTGAGGCTCCTGGCGAGGTTCTCGAGGCTGCCGTGCTGCGTGAGCACCAACAAGGCGGCGACGAGCGGTCTCCTGTCAAACGCTACAGGCCTGCGGCTCGCATCTCGTCGCCAGAGATGTCTGCTTTATACGAAGACCCATTCCTCGATATTGCCGAGCAACAGGCGGTAGCGCAAGCACCTAGCTCCCTTGCTCGCAGGTTGTTTTCATCTTCTAGAAAGCTCCAGCCTCAAGCGGCTACATCGTCTCCAGCCGAGCCAACCCAGCGACCGCTGGCCCGTCAATCTCTTGCCCGCCAGGTTCTTTCTTCTGCGCAGAAGTCGATGGACGTTGACTCGTCGCCAGTAAGATCAGTAGCCTATGAGGATGAGTTTCCCGAGGTTCCAGACAATGTGCTTGCAGCCTTTACTCCGGCTAGGTCTCAGTATTTGTATCCCAAGAAACCCTCTGCTTCCGGATCCCCCGCCAAGTCGCCCGCCGCCAAGTCAACCTCGCTTGGCAACACCTTGGAGATGACTGGCGCCGAGTCTGCTGCTTCTCCCTCTGGCTCAGTACGCGGCCGTTCAGCTTTGTCGCCTCCCAAGCGCCACCTTTCCCCTTCATTAGCTCGATCCAGCCCCCGACGCAAGCCGGTATCCCTGAGCAGACAGTTGTTTAACTCAAAGGTGCAGGAGGCGCGGCATGCGGATATTGATCAAAACGTTGATGCCATCCCTATTGAGCTCACGGGCAAGGCGACGCCCAACGTTGATACGGACCATGACGAGTCTGCTGCCTACAACGACTCCTGGTCCGAAATACCAGAAGACGTGCTGGACGCTGCGGTGCCTGAGTGGTATCTGGCTCAACGGAAGGCTGAGGAGCGCGCCAAGAACACCCATGATCGCGAGAAGGACACTCTCGAGCATGGAGCTCACGATGTTTCACTCATGGATGAGGAAGATGACGACGAAGACGTTCAAAACGTGAGCTCATTGGAAGACCGCGTCGCGGAGGACGACAATCCGAGCGGGAACGACATGCATGAGGAGCTCTCCGAGGAAGAAGCATTTGAGGAAGATGTCCAGCACGAAGATGAGAAAGAAGATGCCCGTGACGACGCTCATATGGACCATGTTGGCGACGACAGTGCCCACGATGATCTGGCAACCGAAGGCAACACAACCCAGAAGGACATCGCTGCTGCTTCGTCTCCCAGGAGCCGTGCTGCTTCTGTTGCTAGCACGCAAGGACGTCTGCCGACCCCCGAGCTTACATCTTCGCCCCTTGACAGCACCGTGATCTCTCATCACGACCGCAACGGAACGGCCCCAGAGCCTGCTGCCGGGGACACTTTACCCGAGCTCCCTGCGGCAACTTCGAACGCGAGACCGACGCTCGATGTTCTTGTGACGGAACCCGAAGCCCAGAAAAAGTCGACACCCACGGCGCCAGAGCTCTCGTCTCAACGTACTTCTCAAGATGCCAACATGCTAGCTCCCCGCTCTGCTTCTGCTGAGCTGGGACATCGCCCGTCTCTGTCACCCATCGTCAGGGCTGGGCTTGCTCTGCAGAGCGTCACTTCCGAGGCTTCGTCGCCCATCTCCCGGCAGAACTCATTGGGCAGTCCTTTCAGGCCCGCAACGAACGCTACGCCTAGTCACGCGGCTGGCCGCTCTATTGAGCGTCCAACCTCCAACCATGTCGTTCCGAGTTCCTCGAAGCTTATCGCCACTGAGACCCCGAAGCAGCGGCCCACGACGTCGGCAGATCAGTCTGCGAGCCAGCCCGGCGCCCAGTTCACTGGTGCCAGAAAGGGATGGTTCCCGCCGCTGTCCAATATTCTTCAAGCTGGCGCCAAATTCTTTTCGCCTACAGCGGTAACCTCCGCGCGCGAGCAGGCGAGCCTCGAGTCCCCAGCGGCGAAGCCGGCAGCGCGTGACCCCTCCCAATCACTCAATAGAATGAACGATTCTTTTGCGTCGGGGCGAGAGCAAGAGGTCATCGCTTCTTCTGGTGACTCCGACTCACTCCATGTTGCTCCCCCCCATGAGGAGGAATCGAGCTGGATGGTCGACGAGCAGTCTCCTGCAGCGGCCCCTCGAGAAGAGACTGTCTTCCAGCACCAGGTTACAAGCCCGAGCCTCAGTGTTGCGTTTGGGTCCGTTGCTGGATACAGTTCGCATGCCCGTGAACCAAGCATCATAGCGCCGACCCAGGATTCACCTCCCCGTGAAACTGCCGTAGGCGAGGACGAAGACGAGGAGGACATCTGGGAGGTCGAGGCACAGCGAGATACTCCTCAGGGCTCCCGCCAACAACCCTTCGGTAAGCGGTCAAGTGTACGAGGTACTGGCTCCCTGCGTCAGAAACCATTTGGTACGAGTCCCCGCAAGAGGCACCATCCCTATGCCAAAGCCCGGCCTGTTGTGCCCAGTCCGTGGACGAAGGCCGGCAAAGAGAACGAGCCCCTGGGAGACGAAGTGACAGGCTTGACACCGGCCAAGACACAGGCCGCCGAAGCAACACGAAGTGTTCAAAAGAGCGCACAATCCAGCCGTCAAAAGAAAATGTTAAGCTTCTTCTCTTCTCCAGCTCTCCTACCAGGTA